TGATTCTATGAAGTTACTTAGTGAAAGACTTCACAGATGAAGTCTTAGAGAGAGAGAGATATATAAGAAATTCTGCTTCTTACAGATTCTTTATCTCTATTTCTATCTCTTATATAATTAATAGAGTTAGTGACTCTTGACTATACATAACTATATAGACTGAAGTTTATGAATACTATTTATAACTTAGCTTGAATACTATTATATATTTAATCTCTACATTTTATCTTTCTACTGTGAATACTTCTAGTAGTTAACAGCACATATCACATCAAGCTGCAAACACCTGAATAATCACCTGCGAGCACTTATTCTTACACAGTGTCAAGAAACATTCTAGAAGTGTGCTCTAGAAGTCTCTTAAGCTCTAGAACTGAGTTCACTGAGAGAAGTCTCTATGAGAAGTCACTGAAAGAAGTCACTGAGAGAAGTACTGTACTCTGTGATAGCTAATCTGAGAGAGAGTGTTGAGAGTCCTGTAATTGATCAGCCCTTCTACCAGCAGTGCGCTGATGATGATTGAGCTCTTTTACCCCAGTAGCCTACAGATATAAGGCTAACGTGATGATGAAGCGCTAATTATTATAACTAACTGAATAAGAAAGGCTGTACAGCACTAATTACATGTATATACTATGTATGAATTCATGCGGAAACATTGCATGTATGGATCCACCTGTGTGATAGTGATATTAATTAAAAACACCACTGAACACTAATTTACATGATGTTAAACCATATAAGGAAGGCCATTACTGTGAAAGGTGCTTGCAGAATCCCTCTAATAATAATAAAATAAGATGATTTTAACACCTGATAGATGTATCAAATGAAGCAGTAGTTAAAATAATGATTATATTGACAAGGAATTCTGAATTGGCAGTGTTCATGTGCAAAACAGGCCTCATAACCTAACCTGTGAACGGTGTAAAGCTTGCTTGAATGAAAAGGTTGCTAGCTAGTGGGAAGTTATTTGAAGTTATTTGGTGGAAGGATTAATAAGCCAGGACATGTGACCTGACAGATAAATCTTGGTTTAATCAATGTATAAAACATTAGTATTTCATATAAACAAATTGATCTATGAATTTTTCAAAGTTGATTATTTTTCATGACTTTTGGTGTAAAGATGAGGCGGGTGTGGATTTTGAGATCTCTGGGGGAGGGAGCGGGGCGGGGGTGGGGTATTGAAGTAGAGTGGAGGTTGCTGTGGGTCGCTTCCTCCTGGTCAATATGATGTTGCAAGATCTATGAAGATGATTAGCTTCTGTTGGTGACCAAGCTAAATTACTATGGTAATATGAAGGAGGATTGATCAAGTTCTCTGAACATTAGGCGCGAATAGAACATTGAGGTGAAAAATAACTACATAGGTAAACACAAAAGCCTGCATTTGGTGGAGCATGAAGGATGTTAATTATGTTAAGTAACATATCTCACCAAAATCATAGTGATATATCTACATGAAAAATGTGATGTGCTGTATGTAAAATTTGTATATAAGAAAGCTAACTATCCCCAAGCTCTATAAACATCCTTTTCAAGACTACTGTACAGACATCAAAGGTTGGTCATTATTCGGAAAACAGCTTTCATAACTGAAAAGAAAACAGGAAGAGAAAATTATGTCCCATCTGCATCTCACCTCTCCAAAAACATCAGCACCCGCTTCCAAAACCTGTTCCTGTGATCGATCATCGGTAAATGTCCCGCGCCCCCAATAACCGCCCACTCAACGACCTTCTCTCCGATCTCACCCTCGCCACGGTCTCCCCTATTCCCCATTTTCCCTCTCCTTCTCAAATCCCCTCACAACCTCATCCACATAACATCCGGTAACTCCCCATCCGCTCCCCCAGCCACAAACATCACCCTCTCCACAGCCCCCGCAGCCCCCGCAACGCGCGCCAACAAGGGCCTCAAATCAAACGACCGATCTCTCAACGCATTGCAACACGCTATAAACTCTTCCCGCGTCGTCGTCCGCAATCAGCGCACTCAGCCCTACGTCCACGTCCATGTCCATACAAATTCCAGCTCCGCCACTCCGCGCCAAACCACCTCTCCATCGTCCTCTCCGTCAGAATCCAAATCGCATCAGCATTGATCCGCGCAATCTCAACAAGGGGCGCATACTAGTCCTCCATGCCGGCGTTTATGGGTGCGCAGAGTGGCACGCTGCAGACGACTAGACGCTGGATGAGGCCTGGGTGTGCGGTGGCCAGGTAGAGGCGCGTGGCGGCGCCGAGAGAGACGCCGATGTGGGCGTGGAGGGTTGGGAGGATGGGATCCCAGAGGGTGAGGTTTGTGAGGAAAGGGTTAGACAGGAGGAGGACCGGCCCGTTATGCGGGTTGGCAGTTGTCACCCATTGGTGGTGTTTTATATCTGTGCACGGCTATCATGACGTTATCCGTTGGAAGTGTATGATAGCCTACTTAAACTTTCGTGGATTTTACCCCGCATAGCTTGACATTTCCACAATGAAATACCGTGAAAACGGCATTTTTTTTCCTTGACAGACAGGATATTTTCAGAAGCAAGTTTTTATATGCGGTTCGCTTGAGACAACGGTCTGGTGTTTTGTTGTTTAGGAGTCAGTCCACGTACATGTACGAGAGGCAAATGATGATAGAAGTAGATTTGTAGTTTAATAGGGTTCACCGTAAACAAAGACACTAAAATAGCGCGGGTGCCGGAGCTTTTTTTTCCATCTTTGATGTCCGAAAGTGTGTGTTTAATTTGGCATATTTTTCCCTTGTGGCGCTTTTCTGCCCCTGTGTTCAGTAGTTGTTGGTGTCTGATACTAAAAACCGACACTCAGCTGATCAGTGAAATTTAATTGAACTTTATGACGCAAGAAATGGTCTATCGAAAAGAATAAGATAAAATCAAATATAAATCACAGCTGTTGTTGCTTTCCAGGCTACGCTGCGATACAGAAGTATTTTCGGGCGCAGGACGGATTGCAAAGTATTTGGAACTGTGGGGACGAGGCCTCGGGCGTTTTTCCTGGTTATGCTTTCTTTCGGCACGAGAAAACCAAGTCCCCGAAAGCCGGGAGTGAGTGAAACATTCTTCACAGTCGCCCAATGGGTGGATCAGCAGTTTCTGACGCTGAAAAAAGGCTGGGGACGAGTTATGTGTGGAGGCTTGCGGGCAAGCCCCAAAACGTTTCCACAACGTATAGCATGATTGAAACATGTCGAATAAACACTCCGTGGAATCTTGCTGTGCGTCGAATACCAGCAAGCGACAATGTCCTCCAGCCAGAAGAGCGCTGTGTCGGAAGTGCCGTACAAGTGTCTTGGCCATTCCTTCACATCTACGAGCTCCGTAATTTCAGCACCGCGGGCTAGATCAGAGTGGCGCAGGCTTCTGCTTTGTTTGTTTCGCCCGACCCGGATTATCTAATCAAACTATCCTGGCCTTGAGCATTGGCGGGAGGGGCAATCAACCAATCATCGGTGACTAACCCGCGATGTTATGGAGCCTTTGGAACCCTCAGCCAATCGACAGCGTGGACATCCGTTTAGTGGTCTTGGCACACCGTTATTTGGGCCCACTTAACCCTTTTCTGACTTCCGGGCTAAATCCGCGCTAAGCCAGTCTAATTGAGGCTAACTCCTGCTTTTCAATTCAATTCTTCCTCGAACAGTTCTTCTTCAGCCCAACCTTCACCAATAACACTGTGGAACGACGACGAGGACGAGGGCACGATAACGACCGCAACACGCTTCCTCTGTGTGTCTACAGCAGACAATTGTCTCTCCTTTCGATTTTTAGAATTCTCTCTTCAGTGCTCTCGTCACTTCTCCCCGTCTCTGGAGTTTCTCTTCTTCGCCTTGCCCCTGTGGCAGGATGATTTGCATTGAGGAATAAGAAGCCGAAGCGTGGTTTGCCTGGGATAACCCAATTAGAATATTAAATATTAAATATAAGCCTGTCGTTTGCCGCAAAACACACAAAAGACTTTTCCTTTCCGCCCCAGATTTCGAACTGACAGCAAACGCTTCTGTCTGCATTTGTGGTGTGATCAGCGGACTTTTGTCAACGACAACGTTGTTCGCACTCTGATATTTGTCTCGTTCTTTTCAAACCCAGCTTATCTGTTAATCAGGTGGATGCAACACCTATCATCGGTAGTACCCTCCTAAAGTCGCGTTTTCGTCACGCCATTTGGGGTTTGTTTATGTTCGCTGACCGCGATGCGTGGGCCTTACAGTCATTCGTTTCTCCAAAGGGCCTTGCGCTCATTTTTCCAATCCACATGCAACTTCGTCAGTCTGATGACTGACGTCCATTCTTTCATTCAATAACTTTGACGATACTATCCTGTCGCGGCCCTCTCATTTCGTTCCTCCAGCCGACCGCCATCCACTCCTTCCTGTTTTTTCTAGTCCGCTTAGACGATTTGCTCGCCCCAACGCGAAATAGTAAATACAGGCACGCGAATTCAATTACGTCTTGCTTGAAGCAATCCATTCGCTCTCGTTTCCCTTTTCTTGTATCCCTTTAGCCAGGCCGATACATCACGCATTGCTTCAATCGGATATATTATCTCACGCTCCCTTATACCGCATTCAATGCGCAATCTTGTCCAGGAAGACTGAGATCAGCTCATTTCCCATCGTTCACTTTACACGACTTAGCCATCTCGTCACAGGGAGTCGGTACATAGATCCACCTTCGTTTCTTGGACGCGACCCTAGGCGGTCCTAGCTGTTTTTTTAGGATTGATCACTTTTCTTCACTATTACTTTTTATTGCCCACTTGTGGGATACCATTTTGGACTGGCTTCCTTCCTGCGGCCCATTACTTTGCTTAGCGACAATTAATGCGCATATCTTGAACGACGGTTATTTCACTCGTTGATTCTTTTACTAAACGAAAAAACGGAGAAACCGAGAACCGGACGAATTTGGAAAGGGATAAAGAAAAAAGGATTTTTTTTTCGGCAGGTTAGCGTAGGGGAGAGCTAGGAGCTTCAAGCTCACAGATATGGGTCATCATGGGAGGAGACGCTGGAGGCACAATGGTGCACATCTGAAAGTCAGGTCGGCTTTGGGTGCAGGAAATGCACTTGTTGGGGCAGCTGTCGGACACAAAGACGGACCCAGGGGCGATAGGGAAGCTACGTTGGAGCCATATGAGAACATTGATGAAATCACTGCCGCGGTTGTGAAAGTTGACGAAAGAGGACGTTTTCTGGGGCGTTCGAATCTAAACGATTTACGAGCACGTCAAGCCCAAGGAGGCTCTGGAAATGCAGATGTTGTTGTTTCAACTATACTTCACGTTGTTCTCGAGAATGGATCTACGGTTGGGAAGTTCACAGTCCCTACGTTACCCGCGACTATATCGAACTCCGATCTAGGACAAGTCACCATTCTCGCAGAGACCAATTCCCCAAGCGTTGTGCCCACCGCTCCACCTAACAATGCCCCAATCGGCCCTACTCCCCCGCCTGCAACTTCTGAGCCTAATTCTAGTGTTCCTGGAAACGGAGCAACCCCGCAGCCTACCCCCAGTGATCCTCCTGTTAATTCCCCAACGGATCCTACCTCATCTATTCCCGATTCTAGCACCCCATCTTCCGACTTGCCCACATCAACTACCGATATGTCGCTCTCGGGTTCTACCTCTACCTTTACCTCTAGCCCAGTGGCGGATTTCCCGGCGCCTTCTCCCTCATCAGTATCATCAACATCCATTACTGAGAATGTCACGCGACCCACCTTCATTGTATTGCCTATTTCAACTAGCACTACCTCGTCGGTATCGATACCACCTGGAGCCCACATCGGGCTTTTACCATCGGAGTCATCGCAACCGCTGTTGCCAAGCACAACGTCCAGTTTTTCTGATACATTCCTACCAATCTTACCATCGTCATCCGCTTTATTGGTTTCGACATCATCGACATACCCATCATTATCAATTACTAGCAGCACGGCGTCAACCTCATCGAGTTCTGCGGCAAGCTCAAAATCTGCTCTAAAGACTACTACTTATGCCGGTGGTTTTCGCGGCGGCCGTGAAGGAGGCGGTGGAGGCGGGGGCGGAGACCCAACTGCCACCACCAGCCCAGGTGGTATGCCTACTTTTGCAGGCGGTAGTCCTGCTGATGCATCCAGCTCTTCCAACGTCCCGACAAGTAAAGTTGTTGGTGGTGTGGTTGGTGGGGTTGCCGGCATCGTTCTACTCATAGCAGTGGCCCTCCTACTTCTGCGAAACCGGAAACGAAAAACTGATCCTTCCGGCGGGCTCACGGCAGAGGACCAAGGAACAGCTGCAATATTACATACAGGTGTGGAAGGACTGATGTCGGAGCGCTCTGTTAGCGGAGGAAGTACTTTAGGCGCCGCAGCTCTCTTCAGCAAATGGAGAAATTCCCACCAATCCACCAGGAGTTTCGAACCACCACCTAGCAGCGAACGAGGGTTTCAGAAAGTCTCAGGGAGGAAAATCACATCAGTGCTAGAATCTGGTGGTGATGGATATGACGACCCTTTCGGCGTTAATGGAGAGAAACTCTATTACGAGACGACCTCTGCTGCTGGTGCTGTGGCTAAAGAGACCGGTTCGCGGACAACGAGCTCCCATTTTATCCCTCCGTCTTCCTCAAGCTTTCAACCCCGACCAACCCTCTCTCGCATCCGGATATCGCGAAGTGCGTCACCGATTGCACAAGCACTCCACACCCCGCCACTCGGCCGACCACCCTCTCAAGAGAGTGACTCTTCCGCACATGTCGTTTTCCGTCCGTCACCCGCGCGAACCCCGCTAACCAGTTCAGCGGATGTCACCACAACGACGACACTGAGTGCCCCTGGCTCAATTGCTCTGCACCCCCCGCCACATCAGTCGCTACCACGATTACCTGTCCATCGACGGGTTTCTGTCCAAGATGCGATAGGAAGGAGTATAGCTAGTTCCGATGGTAGTCGTACTAGTCGATTTACTGAGGCGATTTAATCAAAACAACGAATGGATTTTCTTCCAAGGATATATTTATGTTATCTCTTAATTTTTTTACATCTCAATTTATATCTGAGATGGCAATATATGTTAATTTCGGTTGGGTGTTATGATAATATATGTACTAAACTAGGCAGAGGTGCTTTCAAGAGTAAAATAAGACTCGCACTAATGTATCATCTGCCCGCTTCATCATCCCCTTGAGCTAAAGTTCCTTTGAGTATTTTCTTGACGTCGCCAAATTAATGTCCGAATTACCTGTTTTTTTCTCGGCCACGCCTGATGTATGCTCGGTTTTGTTTTCCATCCGCTAAACCGTCTCATTTACCCTACCCTACCCTATCTACCTTGCCTCAAATCTATATTAATGTCATTTGTCTTTCAATTTCCTAGATATATATACATCACCTGCATGTCTATACATACCGTCATGTTTTCATTTTTCGCCCTTTCGATATATACCCCGTTGTTTTCCGTTATCCCTTACCCATTACCCATTACCCCTAACACCCCAACCCCTAACCTTTATATGATGCGCCACGCTGCGTTTAAAGTCACTATCTCCCTATGTCCCATCTATCCTATCCATCACTGATAGTCATTTTAGTTAGGAGTATAAATGTGGGAGAAGAGCATTGATCGATTGATTGGTTGATGAATGAATGAATGGATAGATAGATGGAAGAACTATTTGACGCCATGTATAGAGTGAAAATACATATGAATATTATGTCAGGTCACATGTTCTGGCTTATTAATCCTTCCACCATATAACTTCTCACAAGCTAGTAACCTTTTCAATCAAGCAAGCTTTACACCTTCCACAGGTTATAAGGCCTGCTTTGTGCACAAACACAGTCAATTCAGGATTTCTTATGAATATAATCATTATTTTAACTACTCTTTCATTTAAATAAGTCTATCAGATGTTAAAATCATCTTATTTTATTTATACTGATATATTTGAGAGTTTAATAATTAATAATACTATCTCTTACTTAGAACAAGCTTGCAGAAAATATATTATATTGTAAAAAAGTAAAAAAGAAAACATCTGATTAAAGCTTATAGTAATAAGAATTTAATAAAAGAAAACAAGTACTCTGTATAATATTCAATATAATAAATTTATTATAATCTTGCTTTTATATCTGTTTATAATTTTATATTCTATTCACTAAGTTAGTTACTATTAATAATAATTCTTCATACTCAAGCTTTAGTAGTGAATATTTTTCTGAAGTATTTAAAGGCTTTATTACTAAATTATATTTTTTTAAAACACTCTTTTAATACAAAGCTGATTTGAATACAGCTTCTGATATAGTCAGGTTAATCTTTCAATTTACTTAATTTATTTAACAGTTTGACAAAGCTAGTTTATATTATGATAAAAAAGCTAAATACTAAGATGTTTTTCTTTCAGATAAAGTTATATTTAATCAGCAAATGCAACATTTTACAATAATATTTAAAATATAATAGAAAGAGATATAAAGCCTTAATAAGAAAATAGAAAAGTTTAAAGATTAAATTATAATTAAAAAAACTCTGTTAATATAAAGACACTGTTAATTAACTTCAAAATATTAATAATAATACTTTTATCACTTTTACAGTGTATACACTCACATGAGATTTCAATCTTAGTAAAAAGTTAAAGTATAATTTTGATAATTCAGATAATCATTCTTATAAAACAATGTTTTAATTTAAGAAAAATGTCAAAAATACTGTGAAATTGAATAGTTTAGTTAATATATACAACTGTATTATCTGAAGCATTTTCATTAAATTAAAACTAGTTAATACACAGTGTTAAAAGATAATAGAGAAATAGCAGATTTAAAACTTTTTCAAAATGTTAAATTAGTACTTTTTTAAAACATCAGAAACTGATAATTTTATACATTTATTTCACACTTATTGAGTACTGATGTAGCGGGCTACGCCCAATTGATAGACTATTTTATTACACTTCATAGATTCCTGCTGAAAGCTCCGATTCTCAGTTATCAATTCTCAGTCAAAGAACTCACAGAGTTTCTATTCTTTCATCTCAAAGTTCTATCTTATACATATATAAATATCTGCTTCAATCACTGCTTCTTGCACTTTCTCTTTTGTTTTTCTTTTCTAATATTTTTCACTTTTGTATTATAAGACCTATAAAGATCATACTGATCTATTCAGTATAGATCTCTTACACTTGAAAAATGTTGATTATCTTCATATTAGAAATGATTACTCATTGAGAAGATATCTGAACATATAATAATATATAACAAATAGAGAAATAAACAATCAAATAAGCAAACACTGAGTCTCTAGATAGAAGCTTACTTATCAGTCACTCTGACTCTGCAATAAAGATCTTATGAAGAAAATAAGATCTTATAAGAGAATGTCAGTGAAAGACCTGAGAGTTCTAATATTTTAGATATATAGAATATTCATACAATTACACTTCTTCTGATAGCATAGATATTACACATTTGATAAATAATATGTCTACTAATAATACAGGAGAACTCTTGAATGTGAGTATAGATACAGTATCACAGTAACTCTGAGTAATATTGAAATTATCTCAGCAATAGATAGCTGATATGCGTGTAACTTAATAATACTAATATGAGGAAATTCAATGATTATCTCAACTAGAAACTTCTGTATAAGCAATTTCAACACTGACTGAATCAGATACAAATATGATACAAGTACTGAAGAAATATCTAGACACTTTTATATATTTCAATACTTCTGATCTCACTCTCTATTCATTATAAAGATTGGAAATGCTTATGAAACTAAGTGTAGATGAAGATGTTATCAGTTCATTAACTAATCAAGATTGATATATCAATGATTGATTGAAAGATCACATAACACAGAAGTTTTATTCATGAATGAAGACATGCAAATTAGCATTATATATGTCTGATAACATTATCAGATATCTTGATATTCTGTTCAGAGATACTGCTACACAGTAGAAAGCATTAGATTGATTAAAGAGTGCTTAACAGAGAAATACTTCTCTTACTACATTTATTTCTGACTTTGATATCAAGATTCTAGAAGCAGGTAATCAATCTTGAGAGAATTGAATGAAGATTAGCACACTTAAGAAGACACTAACTTTTGAACTTCTATAGATTCTTATAAGTGTAGATGAAGATCAGACTTATGAAGACTTCTGCATGTGATTTGAAAGAATGTACGACCGCCGGATAATAACGCCGCTGCTTCTGAACATGCTTACAAATGTAAAGAGGCTCTAGCGGCCACTAATTAATTTAGATAATGTATATAAGAAGCCGGTGTACGCCTGTAATCATACACTGACTCAAGCAACCTTTGAATCACATCTGATAGCATGTCTAAAAACTGGTGAGAAGCACAGACTTCTTCAGAGTGTGATAATTTCATCTATAAAGTGATTTATAGTTATTATATCAGTGTGGTTCTAAAACATCTCAAAAGATAGCATATAAAGAAGTGATGAGTAGAAGAGTGTTCAATTAATACTGCTCTTCTTGTTGAGAGAAAACTTCACACTCAGACAAATATCACATATATAAATAAATGAGATCTGAGAAAGAGAATACAAGCAGTGAACTAGATTCAAAGAAGATCACTCTCTACTTAGAAGAATAAAAGAAGGATGATTATCACTGAAGTTATACAATGATAATAGAAAACAGAAATCAGATATCATATAACAATATAATTATATAACAATATAACAATATAATGATGTAATAATAGACATTATATAATCAACAAGAAATCACTGAAATGAATATCTTGACTAGTTAATATAAACACTCTTCTCTGCTATCTGAACTGAAAGATATACAGAATCTTTCAGAGAATTTACTAAAAGCAGTAAGAAAAGCAGCTGAGATCACTGAACTGAAAGTGAAACTTCATATATATACAAGAATTCTAAACAAGATTGAGGTCTTGTATACATGGTAACAGACTGAGATGAAAGCTAAGCAATAATTGATATTTATCATGAATTAAGCATTCACTATGAAGAGCTTCACTGATGTAATTATCATTATTAATAAGAATAGGAAAAACCAGGTCATAGACCTGCAACAGGAGATTGAACATTTATACAGACAGATAATCACACTAAATCTGAAGATTTCATCATGATCATTCACAATCTCTTCAGAAGTATACACATCATCAGAGACTGCTGCACAGAATGAGAATCTGAATATGAAATACATCAAGTCAGAAGATCTGCTGAAACTATTAAGCTTTAATAATAACTGAAAAAATAATGCTGCAATCAGCTGACTAAGTCAGATGTAATCATATTATCAGACTGAATATGAACTTACAGACAGACAGTTAACAGAATTTCAACAAGTCTTAAGATCTGTTATATTTCTATACAGAAAAGTGAAGTCATTATAAATAACTGATAAAGAAATAAATCTCATAGACTCAGAATGATATTCATTCTTATAAATATGAAATGAGTTTTTCAAATGAATCTTATACAACTTTGAGAAAGAGAATATATAAGATAAGTATTATAAACACTTCACTGAGTATAGACAAGTGAGTAATCTTATATTATACTTCACACACTTCATCTTACACTATCTTGTATTGAATGAAGAGCTTTCAACATCTTTCTATTTACAAATCTTCATTCATGATCTTACACTTAAGTTAAGAGTGAAATGAAAATGCTTAATCTTATAATCAGATATAGTGAAGAAAGTATATAATATTCTTATTATACAGAAACAAATAAGTCAATTATAACAGAAAATACTGTAATTAAGTATATTTTAACAGAGAATGAGTAATCAGACTTCTATGACATAAGCTATATATCTGAATGTGATGAATCTAGATCTGAATATTATTGCTAAAGCACTGAATCCTCTAAAAAAGAGATTCTCTGAGTGAAAATCTTGATATTATGAGTATTGAGCTTGCTTCAACTGTAGATATTAAAATTATGA